TGTCCCTTCCCTCGCCCCGCCCTCCCGCAGCACCGCCCGGTCACCCCCGCGATAAGGACAAGGTCCTCGGTATCCCCGAGTGGATGGGACACGCGTGGGGGCTGATGAGGAGCCCGAGCCCCAGCGGAGAGCTCCCTCCCCTGCTGCGGGGAGCCACAGCAGCCGAGGCGGGCGGGAAACCCCCAAAATTTCGGGGGGGAAACCCCCAAAATTTGGGCCAGCTGCCCCGCATTTATTCCTCCGAGCCGTGGCTACTGTCAGCGCTTCCCATACAGCCAAGTGGTCCTCGGGTTGAGTTTCATCGCCAGACCTAAGGGTTGCGACGCTGTACACCGGGCACAGTTTAGCTCCTCAAGCTCACTTACAGCTTCCACCAGTTTCCAGTTTTCCACTCCCAGTTTCCACCCAGAGCTGCTCCCTTGAGGCACACGCAGCACCCCATCGACTTAAAGGTCTTTTCCAACCTAAATGATTCTATTTATAACCTTCATCAGTGCATGTGGCATGGGACGGTGCAGCCACATCCCCGGGCACCACTGGCTCCCCTCACCGTGCTAACAGCGCATCCTAACACCCATCTTAAAATTCCCAGCACATGCCCCCACAGGGACAATTTGGGGGGAATGAGGTCAAAATTGCTAAGGCACATTCAAGTTGTTAGAACTGGAAACACCCCACCCCACCCCGCCCCCCCCGCCAAAGCTGAAATAGGATTTCTAAAGAAAAACGAAGATCAAAAACAAAGAAACCTCCCATTGCATCTCAGAAGAGGAAAAAAAATGTGTAAAATGACTGCATTTGGAAACAGAAGCAACAGAACAGATTTATGGAAACAGAGGGGAAAAAACCCCCAGTTGTTGCCCAGGTACCTGCTGAAGAAAAGATAAGGGCAAATAAGACCTCTATAACCCTCCCATCAATGTGGCTGTTTGCCCTGGTACATCTGATCAGCAAGAAATATGTCCAGAAAAACAATAAAGTAACTCTCAGTTCTTACAGATATAATTCACACTCTGGGGCAAAACCCAGATATTCATGTAAAGGAAAAAGTTTAATATGCAAAACTACTGAAACAGCATCACATCTTCAAAACTTCAATAATAGCTGCAAGGCCTTTTTTTGAAGGCGCCTTTCAAAATAAGTTACTTTAAAAATACATACAAAACCAGCAGACAAATCCCTCCCAACTTTTTCAGTATAGAACAGACAAACTAACATCTACTTTACTATTTGCTCGTTAATCACTAGACATAAGAGTACATTGCAACAGTGGAACTGATGAGAAAACAGCGTTACATGTCCAAACCTCAAAAATAACTTTAACTAGAGGTTATAAAAACAAACACCCTTCCCCCCCACTCAAGAAATTGCTATGGTGCAGGTTCTAGTCCTGTGGCTCATGAACTATGAAAACTCCCATGGAAAAACTGATAACTTGAAAACAACAACAAACAACTTGCTTAAAAGGAATTATCATAGTAAGGTTTAGGGGTTTTTTGGTTTGTGGGTTTTGGGTTGTTTTTTTTTCCCTTACACTCTATGCTCGGCATGAAAGAGCAAAAGGAGAAATTTACAGTATTTAAGAGAAACAGTTAGATGGCTTTTGAATGCACACACACAAAAGAGGTAGTGAGTTAAAACAGACTTTAAAACTTATCAGGTGATTTAACTGTGTTTGTCAGTAGGGAGCAGCGGCTTTGCAACAAACTACCCCTTGTTTTTACCCTATTGCTGACAGAAGTAGCACTTCTCTGCTAACACTTTGTTTCACATGTAACAGAACACAAACAGGCAAAACCTGAGAGAACTTCGCCTCTTGCTGTCCCACACCACTGCCCCAAGAAATTACTTAGGCACTACTGCTGCCAGTTTGCTAACTTAGCAGTCATCAATGCATATAGGGTTAACTTTGCTGTACAACATATAGTATCATCGTTCTCTATACTCAGACTGATACTGCCACACTGCTTCGATAGTAAGGTCTGCTCAAATAAAAGATTAAAATCTATTCTCTAACCATAGCCTTCAAAGGTTATCTAGATAATCATGGTAGCCATTTAGCAAATTCAATGCCATTTCAAAGAGCAGATAAGACAGAATATTCCACTCCGAGGTTATAAAATGGTTCATTTTGATAGTTGCAAATAACATTTTCCCGAGAAACTATGTGATCAGCTGGCAGAAAACACCAACCGACCAGCAAATTGTCTGTTTTAACAGTTAAGGTGAGTGACCATTTATTTCTAGTAACCTGCCTGGTAAGTACTCCATGCCTACAAGATTATATGGCATTATTTCAGCCTTTCACCCAGGTCTGGAAAGTGTCAGTGATTTATGGGTATGAGCATGAAGCCCCAAACTTTTCATTAACAAACAAACAAAAAAAAACCCCAAACCATAAAACCCCAAACCAAAACCTATTGAAAGGACTGCAAATGAGCAAATGATGACATGCAACAATTTAAAAGTTCAGGGTCATTTGCCGCAGAAGTTACACCTGCACAAATTTAGTTTAATGAATGAGTGTAAGGCAGAGATGGTATTTTAATGACAGACAGACAGAAGGAAAAAGCCCAGAATTTCCTACAAAATTACACTGCTGACAAATCTGAACCCCAGTGTTTCTGTGATAGCTACCCATAAACTCAGCAGGTCAGCACAGATGACAACTGAGGGGGTTTTATGCCTTGAAACCTGTGAAATTGCAGTTTTTGGTTTTTTTAACTGAGTACACAGAATAAGTTTAAATTAAGTTAGCAGAAATGGCAGATGACTTCCAAGTGAAGGGATCTGTAGAAACTCCTACTTCCGTAACTCTTCCAGCAAACACTTACACTATAAACTAGGAGTAGTAAGATGGTTGCGTATGTTGCTAAATACCTCAATACACATGCTACTACAAAACGAGAACCCTGCAAATGCTAACCCTTGAAATGAAGCCATTACAGGATTCCTCCCTTTTGGATAATTTTACTGTCATGAACAGTAAAATTAATCCAATATGCCATACTGAACTGTCAATTATCGCCATGGTGAACAACTTGTTTCCAAGGAACTCCACAGGCCCTGCAAATCCCCACGAGCACCCCAGCAGGAGGGGACATGGGTCACAACACCAGCCAGGTACCGACAGCTCTTCTAGGGATGGAAATAGTTGGTCTGTCACCACACCACCTACAAACGCACATCTGGGTTCCCCGTGGAGAGCCTGCACGTAAAATATTCGACAGTTCTCCTGGTCTGCCTGTTCTGTGCCCTGTAATGCTGCTTTTCTGCATCTTAGAATCTTTACGGGGGAAATTTTAGTGCAATATCAGGAATAACAGAGTTACCTAATCAGGCCAGACCACCGTACAGCATCTCATGGTAAACTGCATGGATGTCAGAAGCGGAACATGGAAACAGGAATAACCTACGCAAACTGAATCCTAATGCCAGCTTGCTTCACTACTCCTTCATTATTCCAGCACGAATAAAGAACAAAGGATAGAAAGATAAATTCCATTGTTTTATCCATGAATAAACCTCCAGGTGGTTGTGCTTATGTTAATGTCTGATGCTGAACTGTAGCTCTTCTGTTTCCCTGCGAAGAATTAAGGATAGAAGTTTTTTCATATGTGCTCACACTGGCCTTTGTTTCCCAGTGGGAATCTCATCACGGCTTTAGCGGGAGCTTTAAAAGCTGCCAAGCACTTTTGAAAATACCCCTGCAAGTACTCAGCTGCAACTGCTTTTGGTATAAATAAGCAAAATATTTACTTACAAAGCATAAACTCAAAAACACGCTGTGGCAACTAAATAAATCTGGTAATCCATTCTGAATACAAAGACTGATTTCAAGCCATCAAAGCCTGTCAAAATGCATTTACTGGGTTGAACGTTCTTATAATATTAACCATCATTTTTCTTTGTAAGCCACCTACTCATAAGCTTTTATAGATTAAATAGATGATCCTAGATAAATAAGATTTTGCTATAGGGAAGAAGGGAAATTATTAAGTTTAGTTTCAAATATCTGATGTGTTTAGTTATAAAGATTCACAATTATTATGAAAATGGTTCAGTTATCAGAATATCTACTAAACTTCATTTATATGGAACTCATCAGTATAACATGAAGAGAGAAAAATCAGCACATAAGGATAATACGTTTATGCAAGAATATTGTTACTTTCCTGGAGTAGACCAATAACATTGCATTATATTTGACAATGTTGATAAGCATATTCTTCCCCTCACAAAGATACAGAAGAGTTAAACTGTTCTTGCAATAGAAATGAAATTATCTAAAAAGCACTGTTAGAAGTCAGGCAAGAAGACAAGGCAGGCAGGCCATGATCCTGCAATGTGATCTCCCCTGCTGCACTCTCAGACTTCCATGGAAGCAAGCGCATCTTTCACGAGGTTTGTCTAGAAACGAGACTTCTGTACTACGCTTTTGTGTGATGTGTGTTCAATTTCTGGTAGCACTGACTTGTATAGAAGGGTACTGATAAGTTTCCTCGCTGTTGACTGAAAGCTGTCTGTCAGCAACACTGGCAGCTCAGATGCAGTTTGATCTTCAAAAGATGTCTTTTTGCAAGGACACGCAACATCTTCATTATTGTGTGTACACACACACACTGGACCAAAAACTGTTACCACTGACAAAACCTCTGGCTTCTCATTGTGAGGTTAAAAAAAAAAATCAGACAGCTACTAGTACTAGTATGTTCCCTCTGTTATTTTGGTAGGGAAAGGCTTACTTGGTGTAGCGTTAAACATAAGATGGCATACAATACCCAGGCTAAACAACAGTCATGATTTGCAAGGTTTACAGAGTAGGATATTTGTATCATGTCCACATGTACACCAAAACGCATAATCAGCTTCACAGCTTTGTATTTACACAAAGATCACACCCAGATCCACAACCCCAAATCCCATTCAGGGATGGTTTCAAGTGCCTAACATGGCTTGTTATCCAGGACATCCCAGCCTTTGATGGTCACCTCACTTGACTTCTTTTGTGCAATCCCCATGGCTAATGTGCTACATAACACGAATATAGTGACCAGATTTGTAAACCTTGTTTTTAATTTGTTATATTCAGTGATGCATATCAGCACTTTGGTGTAGAAAATTGAAAGACTACACAGTGTACCAAAAACTAGAAAGGCTATCTTTTGTTTCAAAGCCAGAGGCCACTATGAGCCAGACCCTGCACCAATCCAGAGCCTCACCAAGAGAGACACGAGTGTGAAGAGCCACCAGCAAGAATCAGTTTCCCAAGGTGGCACCGAAGGCATCTGCAAGACTTGCTGAAATTCCCCATGCCCCATAACATGGCTTCATGCAAAAGTGCTATGAATGAGACATGTAGGTATGAACTTGGAAACCTGCAAAACGCACAAATGAAACTGCAGTTCTGAACTCCTGGTTTCAAAACTTCTAGCACATTACCTTAAAACATCCTAACAGTTAAAAAGGAAATCTTGTTTCTCTTAAGAGAAAAACACCCGACAGCTTCTCTGCCACCTTCTGTGAAACTGCTGACTTGCGAGCATTTGAAGATCATAGATGGGATCTTATTTGTCAAACTGGTGAATAATATTCTCCCAAAAGCTTCCATCATGCTCACTTTCCTAAAGCATATATGGCGTAAGATACAAGAGAGCAGTATCAGATGGTTACTATTTCAGACACACATACCAAGAAAGGCTTAGCACTTACAGGAAACGCAGATGCCCCGTGAGACGTGTAAGATAATGGCAATGAACCAGAACCTGGTCACAGGATCCCAGCCTCCTGATGTTAAGCCTGTGCCAAGCCATTCACAGAAACGAGTGCTGATGTAGATAAAATAAAGGCATTTACTTCTAAAGCAGGAGATGTATTGAGTGACACTACGACAAAAGCAAGGTCATGAACCCCAGGGAAATCACTTAGTAGCATATCACTAGTTGCGATAAAAGTACCGCTTAGACGATGGACATTTACTTTAACAGTGTGACTTACTGAAAAGATACATTTTAACATCTTCAAAATGTATGTCATAGATCTCTCTCACAGTAATTTAGTAGAAAAAGATAACTACATACCCATCTCAACATCTATTTATCCTTAAGCATCACTTCTTCCTGCTTTTCAGTCCAAGCAGGGTAAAATGTAGTAGCAGTCAAAAATCAATACCATCTCATGAGGAAACGTCACTGCTTCACACTAGGTCTTAAAGTAAGTTAAAAAAAAATGCCCACAGTTATCTTCTATGGAAAGTCCAGCCTATACAAGCCTAAGCAATGATCCCTCTATCAAATCTGCATGGGTGTACCAATAAACGCCACAGCCACTTCTGCGGGACTCTCTACAGAGACATGAACCTTCACACACCGCAGTAAATTAAGTTCATGGTTTAATCTTTTGTGTGCTTTTTAATGCCTTAAATGTTTTTTAAATGTATGAAGCATGCCTTGTTTGCCGCCATTCTTGTTCCCTGCCATTACTCTATCATTGTTGCTGGTAAACAAAACACACAATATATAAGGTCCCACTCTTTTTTTTTTTTTTTTTCTTATATATAGACTCTTGATTTTATAAGTTAAGGAACAACAATACTACCTAATTAAATGCACTTATATGTGATCAGAAAGAGGGGGGGCAAAAAAAAAAAATCAATAGAATAACTGAATTTTAAGAGCCCACAGTGGAACCAAGACTCAAGAAAAAAATGATGATACAACTCAGGAACTTGAAATGGATTTTAACTTCTGATGTTGATCATAAAAGACAGACATGCTTTTCTCCACATGGCTTGTGTAAACAAACAGATCTGGATGGTAGCTTGCTTAAACAGCAGTCCAAATGGTGCTTTTTAAAAACAAATGGAAAACACAACTCATATCCTGAACCGAACCATAACTATGTCACGAGTTCAAAAGGATTAACCAGAAATAATTTGTGGTGGTTTCCCCCCCCCCCCCCAAAAACCTTTTTCGGG